TCTGAAATTTCAGGCCCATTTTATTGGCTAGGGCATGGAGCAGCAATACTGTTTGTCCCCATGCAGCGTTGATCTCATTCCACTCCACAGGGACACTAGGGAGCCGCCCCAGCCTAAAGTTATTAATTGTGCCAAACTGTCCACTGTGCCTGTGAAGGAAAGCAGGAAAAAAAGAGGGAAAAAAAGAACTTTGTGACCCTAATGCGTCTTTGCCATAACCTTGGGGAAATATTGAGGTGAGAGGGGGGCAAGAATCAGTGCCCTGTGACAAGACAAATAGGTCTTTATGTGACTAGAAGGCTTGGCCAAATCATTCTCCCTTTTTCCCTCTTGTATAGGGTAATTTTGTGCCCTAGAATTATGAGGTGAATTCATACCTACCCCATTCTTAACACTGAACTAAAACATGTCATACTGAGCATAATACACAGTCCTTGATTTGTGGGGGAGAGGTTCTTTGGTGGTCAGTAACTAAAATGTAGATGTGTATTGTTCCCCACCCTCTCTTCCCATCCTGAAGTCCATATTACCAGATGTGGAACGTTGCATTAAAAACATTTGTTTTCTTCAGCTTGTCCAGTTGGATCTGGGCATAACGCATCTGGTTATCCACACTCTTTAGCTCATCATCTAGCTCCAGCTGTTGTCGTTTAAATTCACTATATTCCCTCTGGTATCTGTGAGAAATTAAGGCAAACATTAAGAGCTATGTGTCTAGTTAGATTGGTTGGAGCCAGACTGTGAAGGGCTTTAAATGCTAGGAATAGAAACCTGTATTTTATCTTAGAGGCATTAGGGAACCACTGAATATTTAAACTCATTGGGCCTCAGTTTCATTATCTGTATATAATGGTGGTGGACAGTCTCATTTTTGTCCTCACAACAACTTAAGGTATACAAATATCATTATCCCTATTTTACAGATGCAAAAACTGAAGATTAGGAGTAAAATTACTTACCTGTGTTGACTTTGCTAGTAAGTGGCAGATGAGGACTCAAACTAAGTCTTTTGACTTCAAATCCAGTGCTTTCACTGTTTCTCAATAGCTGCTTTCTATGGGTTAGCTAGGTGGTGCAGTGGATAGAGCACCGGCCCTGGATTCAGGATGGACCTGAGTTCAAATCTGGTCTCAGATACATAACACTTACTAGCTGTGTGACCCTGGGCAAGTCACTTAACCCCATTGCCTCGCCCCCTCCCCCCCCCAAATAGCTGCTTTCTAAGATCTCTAAAAGTCCCTTCCTGGCTTACAGTTTTGAGATTCCATGACAGTACCTGCTCTTAGCTCCCTACTAAGCTGAAACAGCTTTTAATCTGATGGGGATACTATATGTACCCTTTTGGCACTTATAATTTAATTGGGCAGATGTATAAAATTCAGTAAGGAATTTTTAAGCTCTACCATTAACTGTGGGCTAGGCACTGGAAATACAGAAACAAAAACCAAATCTTTGCCCTTAAGGAATTTACATTGTGTTCCATAGGAGAATGCATACAAAGTGTTTAGGTGTTCCAAAAATCATAGAAGGTAGAAATCGAGCTAAGCTTTGAAGGAAGCCAGGGATTTTATAGAGTAACATTCATATTAGTATAGTGCAAATAAGTGGTCAGAGGGACAAGTCAAATGAGACAACCCAGGTAGTATATACGTCCTGTATAGTTTTAAAGGAAATCTCTCACAGTTGTCCTTTTGAAAAAAATTTAAATGAATGTTTTGTCGTTTTTGAAGGACACGCCCAGCCCCAAACAGATGGAATTTGACATTCTTTTCCTTTCCTTACTTGG